TTTTTTTTTTTTTTTTAACTACAGCAGATTTCACGGGAACACTTTGATTCAGTCTGCTTGCATTTTCCCTACTGGAGCATACATAGCCTTTAAATTTGCTCAATAAGTTTTTAATCGCCCCCCCAACTCTCTACTTCTAGGTTTCTATGAACAGTGGGGCCGCAAAAAATTGGGAATGGGTCTGGTCATTTGCATTTGGATCCCTCAATTCTGTATTCAGCTGCAGGACCAGGAAAGTCTCTTCCGATTAGACCAGGAATTGTTAGAGGAACCAAGAAGCGACTCCATCTTGTTTCCCTTCCTATTCTGCCTTGCTCCCGACAGAGAGTTGCATCCTCCCGTCCGCACCCTCCAACGGCAGGAGGCTGGGCAGGAGAACGGCTGTGGGGAACGAGGTCCACTTCGTCTGCAACCCTGGCTTCTCGCTGATTGGCCCCGAGACACGGGTGTGCCTGGAGGACGGGACCTGGAGCGGACGACAAGCACTCTGCAAAAGTAGGTGCCTGCCGGAAGGAGAGATTTCCTGTCCGTGATCTTGAGTTTTAAGCAGCGTTGCCTCCAAGATGCACATAAAGCCTTAGCCACTGCCTTTGTGGACCTGAGCCGCTTCAAAATGTGTTTCTATGAGTCACGTAGTTTATTTTGCTTATCTATCCACCCACGTTTGTCTTTTATACAACATTGTAAGCCCAGTTGTAGGTGTCTCAGAACAGCTAGTAGCAATGAAACAAGGTTTTCCCAAACTCACAGTCATAAAACAGCTCTGCAGAGCAGCTGGATAGCATAGAAGGAACCTAGGACAGCGAAACTGGTGGCAAACAAGATAAATATTGCAAGGTTAGGGCATGAGATTTTAAACCAAGTTTCCAAAATAAATCATAACTGAGTGGGTTTGCAGAGCATGTCATAAACAAGAGTTTACCAGATGCAGAAGCTGGGTTTACACCACTGAATGAAAGTCAGAATAGGACGTAAAGGCTTGGAACGACATGGACACCCGGTCAGCATATTTTCATCTCTACTTTTTCTGGCTTAGGGTCTAGCCCAGTGTTTCTCAACCTTGGCAACTTTAAGACGTGTGGACTTCAACTCCCATGCTGGCTGGGGAATTCTGGGAGTTGAAGTCCACACGTCTTAAAGTTGCCAAGGTTGAGAAACACTGGGCTAGAAACTTAGATGCTGAGAAATTAAGGATCAGGTTCTCGGGATGCAGCAACAAACTGTGGGTATAGAATATGAGACTCAGACTGTTTGCCAAGACCATGGAGGCCATCAAGTCACACTGTTCAGTGCAGAATCTGAATTAAAGTGTTCACCAGAGGTGATTGATTAGCCAATGCTTGAGGGCATCCAGCGAAGGAGAGTCCGTCACCTCTGTAGATCCCTGAGTTTTCTCTGCCACTGCTTTCCCCCCTTACACTCCGCTGGAATCTGCCTTCCTGTAACTTGAGACCATCCTTCTGCTCTCTTGATTTTGATTTTCTTTTAGCTGACATCTTTTCAAGTACTTAGTGCTGTCCTATCCCCCCTCAGTCAACTTTTCTCAAGAGAAAACATACCTGCCATTTAAAAGCGTCTTTCCCTGTTTTGCAGTCACATCAGACTGCTGGCTGATGCTCAGTTTGTAATCAACTACAATTCCAAAATTGTTTTCCAAGCCAGGTACCCCCCGTCCATATCTTTGTACTTGATTTCTTCTTCCTAAGTGAAATTCTTCCTCTGCATCTGCCTTTGTCTAATTTCACCTGGTTAATCAATTCAGAAACCATGGTGAACGTTCACTGAGGACAATTTTCCTACCAGCTCTGTAGCCACTGAATTGTCGTCCCATCCAGCCCAGGCTTGCTAATCAAGATGCCAGGCTTTGGCACACCGAGTGGAAGCTCTGCCCATTGGTGCCCTTAGAGCCTAATTCCACACACTCCGAGGGAAGGAGGTGGACATCGCAGCTCGCTCACCTCTTGGTCCTTGCTCTTTTCTAGATGCCCAGGAGAGCATCCTTCTGTCGACGCCTGGGTCCTGCTAAGGGAGGAGAGGACTGAGTCTCAATCCTCGTTCCAGTGAAGTGTGTCCCTTTCTTTTTTCTCCCCAACTAGGCATCAAGGATTGTGCCAGCCAGCCCTGTGCCAATGGAGGGACCTGCGTGGATGGTGTTCACCGCTTCAGCTGCTTGTGCCCCAGCGGCTGGTCAGGGGGCACTTGCCAGGCCCCAGTTTATTCCTGTAAGTAAGAGAGACGCTTTGGGCTGCGCTGGTAAAAGGGCTCTGAATCCTGAGGATGGGAGAAGCGGAACTGGCCGTTTCTTCCCTTGGGGGGAAGTTAGATGGAGGGGTGGCAAAGGAGCTGTAGAGTCGCCTTCTAAGCATCCAGATTGAGCAGGGATTTGAATAGGGGTGCTCCCAACCCTAGATCAAAATTCAGACCCCCGCATCACACCGGCTTTGACAGGGCCAGTATTTAATTGACTCTGGAAGCACTTGGTTGGGAGACCACCAGGCTAGATGGAGAGGACAGAAACAAACCCCCATTTTGATATTGCTGCCAGGAAAACAGCAGGGATGCATCTGTGTACTCACTGGGGGAAGCTTGGCTCACGTATGTCTTGCCCTTAGTGGGGGCTGTAAAAAGCCTGTGCAGCGAGGAGACCCTGGAGGCCCCGTCTCCTCCCCGCCCCATGCTCTGCTCATTTGTCACGGTAAAGTCCACGCTTACGGTGGCCTCTTGACCACAGATGGGGCAGCCGTGAGGAACACAACGTTCAGCCGTCAACCCCACTGTGCGGAGAATCCTGGGGGCTCACGCCAGTGCAGCTGTGATGCTGGCTTCCAGTTGATGGGGGGAGGCATGTGTCAAGGTAAGCAGGGGGGCTGGGTACCATCTTCCCCAACCGGGGGCCCTCAAGCAAAGTGGCGATTGCTGCTCCCAGAATTCTACCATTTATTGCTTCTTGCAGTAAAACAATCACAGATGCTTCAACAAGAAAATAAAAACAAGCTAGGTCACTACCGTCAGCCGACGCTTTTGCTGGGTGATTCTGCAGCCAAGGGATCAGGAAATTGTCTGTGCTACCAAAGAGACATAGGCTCAGGTGCTGTGTGCTTCCCACCCAGCAGGAGGGTCCCAGGGAACCAATGGAACAGAGAGCTGCCTGACTACTTTTGTGGGACTATAACTCCCATTATCCCCCACCTGAACATTTTCCAAGAATTGCAGGGGGGAGGGTGATGGAATGATCGGCCTCCCACTCACATTTCTATCCTTAAATCTCCTGGGGGACACTCCCCCAGGAAACAGCTATTTTAGCCCATTTTAGTGGGGGTTAAAGGAGGAAATGGGGCGCTCTGCTTCCTTGAATTTTCTTAGTTCCATGTCTACCTGATTTTGAGTGGATGAACATGTACGTTTCTGCCTACAGCCAGTAACAGAAAGGAGGTGGGGAATCTTTGGCCTTGCGCTGGTGAAACTCAGTCGTTTTGCTGCTGAATGTGGGCAGTGCAATCTCAAGGAGGGAACGCCTGTGATCTGTCATTGCCCATCACCATCATAGAGTGTTGTGTCAACCAGACCATGGTTAAGCCATCATGGGGTGGCTTTGTTTTGCCTTAGCATGCAATGTGAACCATTTTGTTGTGGCTTGGTCCCACCTTAGCTTAGCACATTTTGCAGATGTGGCAATGCCTCTCAGCTCAAGGGCCCGAAGCAGAGCCTCTTCCGTGTTTTGGCTCTACAACGCCCATTTCCTCCTGCAAAGCATTGCTGAGCATTGTACCCTGAGCAGGGATCTTGCTTGTGTGAATTCACCCTCACCTGGGCCCTGAGTTGAGCAGGGATTGTGGAGGTCTTTTTTTGCCCCGGGGACTCATTCAGCAGCTTCCTGCTCCACCACAGATGTGGATGAATGCCAGCTGTTCCAGTCCAACTACCATACCCGCATCTGCCTCCACGAATGTGTGAACCTACCTGGGTCTTACCAGTGCACCTGCCCGGACGGCTATCGGTTTCAGGCTGAGCAGAACATATGCAGTGGTGAGTCCCTTTGCAGACATGGGAGAATTGTGGGGGAGTCACACCATTCTGTGGCTGAATTGGGAGTTTGAGGGCAGGTTTGGGAAGTTTTCCTTTCTAATAAGTCTGTGTTCCCTGGTGAAAATCTTTAGGGGATGGTTTATTCCTGGGGACATCATCCATCTTCTCTTGGTCATTTCCTTCTTTCTGCCCTCTCTTTCCATCCTTCTCTTTCTACCCTCTGTTGCATTCCAGCTTAGAAAAAGGGAGTTATTTTGTGCCCAAGGAGTGGGTGATTTTCACTAGGAAGGCAGCCAGAGGAAGGATTAACCCTTTCCCACCTGTTTGGAGCATGATGATCTTGCAACAGGGACTCGTGCCTTCATCGCTACTGGTCTGGACTCCTACCATGTGCTCTATACGAGTCCGCATTTGGGGATCGCTTGGAACCATAGTTGGTGTGGAATGCAGGAGCTTGACTCTTCTCTGAGTGCTGGTCACCCACAGAATGTAGCGCCTGTTCTGCAGGTCTTGGGTTAGCTGCCCACTGATTTCCAAGAGCAATTCAAAGGGTTGATTTTGATCTACTGAAGCATATATGGCTTGGCATCCTTCAGTTGGAACCAACTCATCTGATACAAACATCCTGGGAGAAACTTTTATATCTCACTTTAGTGACATCCAGGGGTGGGGATTAAGACCAGGAAGTGCTGCTGCTTCCGTTTTGTAGAACAGTCTCCCTTTGGAGGCTGCGTTGCCCTCTCTGTTTGAAGCTAGTTAAGATGGAGCTATTCTGGGGAATGTTTGGCAGATGGTTCATCCTGGAGGTGAGTCTGCGGGGTCATGAAGAGCTGATACCAACATGATGGCACATAATCGCTCAAGATGGAAACTTTCTGCAGAGTTTGGTGGAAGATAGCAGTAGTCCCTGATTTTATTGGTAGTTGGGGGATCTGTGTCTTTTTATAAATGTTACAAGATTTGTACTTATTTATATTGTATCTGTACCAAATATATTTTAAGGTAACTGCTTGGAGGATTTCAACCTTACTTTAGATGTTTTAGTGCTATTGTTAACTACTAAGTGTCCTGTGTTCATTTGGTAGTATATAAATGCAATCAATCAATCAATCATCTTTAGGGCCTTAGAATAACTCAGACGCTAAGAGCAAATATTTGATGCCTTAAAACACAGCCAAGGACTGTTTCTGCATCACATAAAAAACTTTTTGAGGAGCGTTCAAAAGAATATTAGCTCAGCTAGGAATAGAATGGGATAGTAAGCTTTTGATAGAGTGAGAACAGGATTCTCAAGCATTGTTCTTAGTCCTAGAAGCTGGATGGACATCTTTCTGGTAGACAGAGATTGCAGGTCAACGTTTTTGCCCTTCCATCCTCAGTCAAAGCGGGGATATTAAATTGTAGAAACTTAGAGCGCGCGTTTTACCCGTTTTACGCCTCCTCATCAATCAGGTTGTTTTGTGTGTGCGTGTTTTAAAGGACAAAACACAAAAGCATGGGGCTGAAAGTGTTGGCCCCATTCATTCCAGAGGTAGTGAGAGGCTGGACTGCACTCAGCCCATGGATGCCCACCTCTGCCCCACATTCATCCCTTAAGAGCAAGGACATGGATTATTGTCAGTTGCAGTGAGGAGCTGCAGAGTCGGGGAATTATATCCCTGTTTATTTAAATAGGCACTTCCTTGCTGTGATCAGAAGAGCATCAGTGCCAGTAGCCCACCGCAGTTCTTGCCCTCTGCCAAATTCCTAGAGCAGGGTGAGGGTCCATAATCTGCCAGGAGTCGTGGGACAGCAGGGCTCCAGACCACCAGGGCCGAGACACGGCAGACAGACTTTCTCTGTTGTCTTTGCAAGATGTGGATGAATGTGTCGGGAACCAACACGACTGCAGCCGTGGACAGACCTGCGTCAATACCTTTGGTGGCTTCCGCTGCGTGAAGCCTGAATGCCCCAAGTCCCAGTTCAACACCACCTACGTCAAGACGTCGGCCTTGTAAGTAAACACCCCAGTGTAACATTCACGCATAGTCTGCACTAACAGAAATGCCTAGCATGTGATGGGGTGTTATAATGCAACACCCCGGGATGGGGAAAGGGTAGTCCTTAGAGGCGACTGCTCTCTCAGGCCTGGGGCAAAAGACTGCAGCTGTTCTCAGTCCTGAGAGCCAAGGAACACCAGAACTGACTTCCAACCTTCCCACACTCATCAGGGCTAAGATGAGTTCAGAAGAGTTTCTGAACAGGGAACTGAACCCCCTTTGCTGTCTGGAATCAAAGGGTGGTCAAGGTCACTTTTCTGCAGGAACAGGTGATGCATGCCAAAAGAGGTGGGCTGGAGCTGACAAGGGTTGAAAGGCAGAAGTGGAGATTGATTCTACGAGCAAGGGAGCTGAGGCAGCCCAGCCCAAAGTAGTTAAGAAATTGCCCTATTTTTATTCTCTTTTCGCCCCTCCCCACCCCCAGCCAGCAAAGATGAGTATTATTCATGACCAGGGTAATTCATCAGGAGGGGTCAAAAAATATCAAGATGGTGGGCAATCAAATCAAGCAAAAAGGGGGCTGGGTATGATCGTGCTGTCCACCTGTCATTTTGAGTTTTTTTGATCCCTGTGGATACCCCTGAGAAGTGGAATGGCAGCCCAACCATCTGTCTTTTGGTAAACGGGTGTTTTGGACTGGCCTTGCCCACCTAACAGCCATTATGTCCAGAAGCAAGCTCCCTCCTGGCAGCCATTAGATGCCATGATGCTTTCCCCCAATTCAGGCATGCCCCCTGGGCACCAAAGATTGCCTAACTCAAGGTAGCCCTGACTGGGTGTTTCTTTTCTGCCTCCTCCTTGCAGGCAGTGTGAACGGAGCCCTTGCCCCATGGGCAGCCAAGCCTGTCAGAAAGCTGCTCACGCCATCTCGTTCCACTACCTGCCCCTCCAGTCCAACCGCACCGTGCCCCGGGTCCTTTTCAAGATGTCCACCAGCCACTCTCTGGGGGACAGCCTGCGCTTTGCCCTCCTGGGGGGCAACAGCCAGGGGAAGCTTTCGGTGCAGCGCTCCGACCAGCACACGGGGGAACTGGTGCTCACCCACCCAGCCCTGGGACCAACAACCATGGAGGCCGAGGTGGAAATGACTGAATTTGCACAGAAGATCCTTCTAGGGAAGCACATCTTCAAGGTCACAGTGTTGGTTTCCCAATATGAATTCTGAGCCCCTGTGGAATCCCATCAGGCAGGCCTTGGGGAACGTCAGGAACATATGTTGCAGGAACCTTTAGGGTGTAGCTCTACCCGCAAGAGGGAGTTGGACTAGAAGACTCCAAGGTCCCTTCCAACTCTATGATTCTACCCGGAATGGGCCATCAGAGGAGCCAAAGTGGGTCTTGATCGGCTAAAAGTCAGACGCTCCTCTCTCCACTCATGGCTGGATACTTTCCCCATTAGCTTTCCCCTTAGAGAGGCTTTGGAGAGAAGTGATAGACGGGAAGCCCCATCGTCTTATGAGGAAGACCAAGAACAGCGATTGGAGTTCTTGCAACCACAGACAGAAGCAAAGAACTGGAAGGCACTTAACTCTTTGTGATCTGAGTTGTAAGCAAGAGCAGAGCAAACTCCCATGATGGATCAGTGGGCTTTACTAGAAGTAGGTGCCACCCTAAGCCAGCATGTAAGATTTTGTGCAGCTTTTAAACATAAAAAGCAGACCAAGTCAGAGTAGAGTAGCTGCAGAGCTTGGAAATTTGGCTCCAGAAGCGGGTAGCATCGGCCACTCAGGACTGCAGCATTTTCAGCTTAGTCAGAGAGCAGGCTGCTGGAATTTATTCCACATTTGGAGAAAAGACACAACATACATTATTTTCTGGACCACGACTGTATTCCTTTGAGAGCTGGGTGGCTCCGACTCCTCTTCGGGCAGAGAAATTGGTTCAGCGTTTTTTTATAACTTGCTTCTAAGCCTAGCAAGGAGGCATTTACAGGTATCTGCATTAAAACAGTCTCACTCAGACTTGATACCAGTAGACCCTGTGAGCTGTTTATCTATATAAACAAACTAGATTTGATATGTGGACAGCAGTTATTAAAAGTGTGTTTCATTATGATACTGTGTCAAATGCTTTGACTACAAAATTGTGGCTAGTCACCCAATGGAGAGAAAAATGTTCAGGATTAGAAACAAGGTCATTAGCTCTGGGAACAGCTGTTCAAGAAAGGCAAGCTGGCAACTATGCGGTCAAAGCCCACTTCTGACAAGTGTTGCACTGTCATGATCACCTTGATGCCCATCTTGGATAGTCAAGAGGCAGGGACAGCCTAGCTGTGTTTGCAAAACATAACTGCCCTTGATTAAAAATCAGGAGGGGTCTGATAGCACCTTTTCCGACTAATGAATTCAAGTTTTCATGAACTGTTACTTGAAACGGTGCTACCAGACTCCTCCTGATTTGTTGCCACTGTAAACGAACATGGCTCTCTTCTTACAATGCCTTTGGTTAACTTACGCATGGTTTACTCAATCCGGTTTTCTGAGCTGAAACAAGACAGAACCACAGCTAACTACATTGGTTGGTTACACAGTTGGCTAATTTAGGGCAACTGCAGACTACGCGTGGAATGGCTGCCCTCTATCCAAATCAGAACAAAGCCTAACTCGTTCTTCCTCGTAAGGAAGATTTCTTTTGAGGTGGGCTCACGGAAAGACTATTTTAAGAATAAAAAAATGATCCTCCTGAGCGTTTGTCATATACGCTGCAGGCGCATGAGGAAAACTGAGGCTGCCTCAGAGTCAATTCTGCAAATCAACAGTTGGGGCTCCTGGGCATGGCAGAACAGGCTCATCTTTCAAAGCTAATGCATTGCTGCTGCTCTTCTCCCCAAATGCCACAGCAATAGTTGCCTCTGGCCTGGCCACCCCACCCCACCCACCCCCCCATCGCCACTATCCCCCAACCTTGGCCCGCTTATCCGACTCGAGCCAGAAAGGCCAGGGAGCAGAACATCTAAGCTACAAAAAACGTGCTCTGCTTTGTGGGTGCAGAATTTGCACCAGTAGTGGCGACGCGCTGGGAGGGCACCAGATGGGGGGAAAACTGGGCCAAGCCGTGCTAGTCGTGGGAGGCAA